TGGTATGGTATGGTATGGTATGGTATGGTATGGTATGGTATGGTATGATATGGTATGGTATGGTATGGTATGGTAGGGTATGATATGGTATGGTATGGTATGGTCTGCCTCACCTTCACATTCTACTGCTCCCTCCAGAGTAAATCCAACAGGGCAGGTGCAGTAATCACCATCTTTTGCTGTTCCGGACGGACAGCCACAGCCTGCACCACTCTTCTGCATCACCTGGTTTCCTGGACACTGAGAAAGAGTGGAGGCTGAGGCAGACGAAGAAGCTGTGAGTGTCAAGAAAACAAACAGAGGGGACAATTTTAGGAGAAAGTGAGGAGGAAGTTATACAGATAAAGAAAAGTTGGAGAACACACACATTGTGTGGTAGGTGTGTGGCTTGTTGTTGCTTCACTGATATTTCTGATGGCGTTCTCGATCATCAGCATCTAAAACAGGAGAACAAGAGGCAGAACCTTATTTTCATGTCCTAAGAAAATAGTTATCATGTAAATGAAAAGTTAAATAACAAAACAATTCACATGCGTGGTGTGGTTCTTGGTGAGCTCAGTCTCTGTGTGTTTCAGGACTTGGTTGTCTTTTCCCTCATGGCTGTCCAGGTTTTCAGCCACTGACAAAAGCAGCAGCAAGGCTGACGTGAGGGTCCAGAGGTGGAGCATCACCTGGATCTGCACGGACAAGAAGAACAACAAAGCTGCTGTGAGTTCTTTGGTGAAGACAGCTGCATGTAGCCTGTTTAGGCTTGTTCAGGCAGGCTAAAGCACCCCATCATTAACATCAACCCTTTACAAAAGCAGCTCACTTCCTCTGAACATTCTGCAGTTAAATTGAACTCTGGAAAAGTTCTAGTTCTTTTATGAATAACATCTTAAGACTAAATAAGCATAAACATTGGTCTAACAGTGTTAAATGTTGATGTGATCCAAAGCTGTGGAACCATGTTTGCAGACTTACCTGAGAAATATTCACTCCCACCTAAAGATGTTTTATTTTATTTTTTTATCACCGGCGACAGACAGGACTGTCAGGAGCTGAAATAGATCTCAGTGCCTTTCTTTCGCTGCAGATGTTTCCTTCAGCTGGATTCCAGCTCCGTGTGCCAGAGTGAGTGAAGGGCTGATCCAGCAGTGACTCCCCACATCCTGTGTCAGAGCTCCACACTTCCCATTCCACAAATCCCAAACCACACAAAAGACGAGCAAAAAAAAAAAAAAAAAGAGAGCAAGAGAGAGAGAGAGAGAGAGAGAGAGAGAGAGAGAGAGAGAGAGAGAGAGAGAGAGAGAGGTTTGTGGACTGCTTCTACAGTCCCCAAGATTTAAACTTTTTCATGTAGGTTTTAAAAAAATGCAGATCTGCAGTTGGTGATGAAAAAAGTGGGAAATTTAGGGAAGTTAGAAGATTTTGACACCTTTTTGTTTTGTCAATGAAAATAAGTGCAAGTGATAAAAAGCACAATGTTTGAGCTCAAAGCCCACATTGTTTTTACTACTCAACAAAAGTTTGGAACAATAATTAATCTTGTTTGATGCTTTAAACCGCAGCAAACAAAAACCAACAAGTTAAATCTGCACCTGTAATATTTGTCTTGCACAAATCTGAAATACATCAAACATTTCCACAGTACAGGAAACAACACAAATGTTGAAGCTATTTATAATGGATTCAGTGAATGAGGTAAATTTGTTTGAGGTTGTTATTTTTTTTTTGGTCTCACAGGAATAGGCAGCCGAGAGCAGAGTAATGCAGAGGGGGAGTTGGATCTAACTGAGGCCCTTTCCAAGGCCACCCAACTGAGAAAAGGGGTATCCGTACCCAACCATAATAGCAGACCTCTGATATTAGCTGCCCAGTAAGAGTGCATGAAATTAGGAAGTGACGCGCCTCCAAGCCTGTGGGGCACATGTAAGACCCTCTTCACAATCCATAGAGACATTTTATTTCAAATAAATGCTGATAGCTGGTTGTTCAGATTGGAGAAGAATGATTTAGTAAGAAAGATTGGCAGATTCTGAAACATACGTTTTAAGGTTTTGAGAAACCTTTTAGTGTTTTACCTTCAAAAGCACAAACTGACAACTTTTAGGCAGTTGCTTTGAAAATGCTAATTTATTCAGACTATTCTTGTGAAGCAAACAAGACATTTAAAAAATGTTGATTCGTACATTTAAAAACTGAATGGAGTTTTGTTTCTGTTTGAAAACTCCTTGTCGGTGAATCATGTAGTGCAACGATTTTCACAGCGTTTGCTTCCATCAATATTTTCCAGGGACAGTACGGTAAAAATACCACAGACTGCTTTTATTTTACGGTACATTGCTCGCTGTCAGCTGATTTGATCTTCCTTTTCAAAACAGGTAACTGAAGACAAACGCTTCTGCTTCAAGATGCAGAACGCTTTTATTTTGCGAGGTACTAAAAATATCACAGAACCACAAATCAGCAACACTAAAAAGAATCGAGAGAGGCGTCAACAAACAGGAACTATAGAACAGATATCACACTGAATAAACTTTACTGTCATACAGATATATTGAATGTTGCAGAGATGAGGTAAAACTTGTACATTTCTTAAGAATAAATCTGGACATGGAATTAGTCTAATCCTGCAGTTAAGATGACAGTATATTGGAATGTAACAATAAATCCAAAATATTACCTAAAAAAAGGCTTTATTTTACAAATAATACAGCATTTGGCAGTAAATCAGGCAGAAAAGTCTTTCTCATTTATGGCACATTTCATCACTTTTGGATTTAAGTTTGATCAAATATGGCAGGTTTTTTTTTTTTTTTTTTTATAATCTGCTCTTGAGAGTCAAAAGTTTGCAGAATTTCACTTCAGGCACATCGAATAAAAAAATAAATAAACAGACCACAGACCACACCAACACATCCCACTAACAATTAATAACTCACAAAGATACAAATCACAAAACCAAACCATTTAACAACGTGGAGGTCATTATTAACAACAGTTAGCATGAGCAAAGCAGGAGTCTGCACATCTTTTTGCAATTGGCAACAGTTTTTGTGAGCAAAGTTTGAACCATCACACCTAAACAGCAGCTTTAGTGATAAATGCAATCAAACCTTAAACACGTTGTCAGTCATCTAAACTGTGAGTACATTAAAATGCAGATGTGATATGTGATGCTGTCTTGATCAAATTAGAAACCTGGTTAACATTTTCCTTTCTTAATAGCAGCTATGTAATTAAGCTGAGCTTTCAGCTCAGCTAAATTATAATTCATTAATATAACGGGTGATTACTCCAAGGAAATCTAAGCCCTGAGCCTTCCGTGTGGCCAGTGTGTTTGGAAGAGGCTCAGAAGAACTGGCAGGAGCTGTCGTATAACATGTAAATGTGTGCAAAATGCCGAGGGATTTCAGAATCCCTCTCATGTGGTGGGTTCACCTCGCTTCCTCCTGTCTGGCTGAAGGAGGGCAATCAGTGAAACAGCCGGATGCATAACTTACACACTCCCAGGTTTCAATGATGTAAGAACAACAAGAGCTAACAGTGTGTTTGCTGCACAGCTCAGTCGGGACAAATCAAATGTACAGAAGCAGTCCTGAGTGAATGAACAAGATGGTGCAACAGAAAGATCAGAAGGGCGTGTCCATCTGGCTCCCCTTCGCAGCAGGTGAAACCACCCCGTAACGCCTCTCCTGCCACCTCAGCCACTGGATGTGGACCTCCTTCTGCACCTGTCAAACAAACACAAACACACCAAGAAGAACATGAGTAAAAAATATATTTAAAGAAAAAAAAAAAAACACTTTTTGCAAACAAAATCCATCAACCAGCATCTTTAACGTTATATTTTTATGGCTTGTTCTCTTTTTCTTCTCAACTGAAAGCAGCGTTTAATAAGAAGAAGAGCTGCGTGTCGAGCGGAAAAAAGCAAATCAATATTAATTTTAAAAACTATTTGTTATAACTGAATAAACAATTATTTGATCCATGACAGATTTACCACATTACTACCCTCTGTTCCACCTAGCTATCACACAAAGCTCAAAACGAACACATTTATTTATGCATTCGAAAATGTGCAAGATTAAATGAAACAAAACTAAGTTAAAACATAACATAGAAGCTCAGCATTGCAGCATTAATCCTTGAGAAAATTTATGTAATTTAATGGAAAGTTCTTATTTATTAAATTGGGGTTCCATAAAAAGTTTTATTTATTTATTCATTTATTCATTTACCTGTTGGTTTGGCCTCTTTCTGACTATTTGTTAGCTTATCATTTAAGTCAGAAATAAACTTCCTTTCTCCAAACTATGGTCAATCAAAGAGCTATCTATAACAGGTGAGACATTAACTGCAGATAATCTCTCCACAGAACCCCACTTCAGAAGATCTGAACATTTGATGGTCAATATATTCTCATGACATGTCTGCACAATGATATGTGAGCATGACAGAGGCAGACTGGTGTCTGGTTGGCCCTGCATTAATCTGGATGATTATATAAGCACTCTGGGTTTGTTCTTTATGTGATGTGGGGGAAAGAATTTGTAAATTATTTCTGCACTTTAGGCTCTGACAACTTAACACCTCTCACTGACGTGTGATCCTTCTGAGCAGCTTTCTTATGCAGTAGAGCTCAGTAAATGAGCAGTGGGTTGTGATGAATGTGATATAAGCAATGCTTGAGAACCGTGTGGTTTGCACTGACCTCTTGATTGAGGAAGCAGTAGAGGACGGCAACAAGAAGCCCCTGTAAAAAAGAGAGTTTTTATCAATGATGAGTGCATTTAATGGATTTCAGATGCGAAAATTGCACATGTTGTAAATGTGAAACATAGATTAGACTTGAAACAATGAGAAATGAAACATTTGTTTTCATACCTCACTAATACACCTCGGTAACAAGCAAAATCTGTGAATTCTGCAGCGTCCTTTAATTTTTACATACAAAAAGAATCTCATGAAGCACACGGTCTTTGCTAATCAATTACCCAATTGTACAGGTTCTTAGCAGCAAAGAGCAAAAATGAAAAGAAAATTCAGTTTTTGGATGACATTTACTTAAGGGTATACTTTGTTCATCAGCTTGTCTGGATGATGACTACACACCTTACAAACAACATCATTTGTCTTCCTACTGCCACAACACTGCAGTGCTGTTGTATACATTTCCATGCAAATGTTTAGATTAAAGCACATAAAGATAGGAAACGCATATAAAAGTGTAAAAAGCTGACAGACTTTCAGGTCTAGGCTTTTTTATGAAGTAATCCCAGTATGCTGTTTCAAATCAAGTCAATGTTGATGTCTGGAGTTCATTTATAAGCAGCTGTATTAACAAAAGTGACGTACAAACTGTTAAATCGAAGGAATGACTTTTAAAAATGTATTTAAAATGATCAGTAGTTTGAACAGCGTGCCAGTTTTCAAACTGTTTCACAGATTAGTAACCACCACTAAAGAAGCTTATCTTCAACGAAGATGGGGTCTAAAATAGATCTTTGATGTACCAGAGAATAAAGAGTGGACACAGCTGTAGAACATCTTGCTAAACGGACAGGGAAACTGCTTTAATTGAAATAATTGTAACCATTTAAGAGTTGTATGTTGCCTTATTCAATTCAATTCAATTCAAAAATACTTTATTAATCCCAAAGGGAAAATATTTGTTGTTGTAACTTGTTATCCTCGTTTCATTAAGAGATGTTATAGATACTGATGCTGCAGACAGGAAGGATCTCTTGTAAAGGTCCATCCCACAGTGGATCCTAAGAAACTGGCTGCAGATGCCGTCCGATTCGTCCACCTGGACTCGGCTGGCCTCTCGGTTCCTCCGGGCTGCAGGACCACCTGAATGCCGAGCAGAACTCCTCCCAGAGCGATAGTCACTCCTCCCAGCAGTCTGCTGAGCTCCTCGTTGCTGCGGACAGCCAGCTGTAGGTGCAGAGGGACGATCCTGTCATGAGCTGTATTTCCTGCTAGTTCCAGGATCTCAGTGGTCAGGCACTCGAGCACAGCTGGCAGGTAGATGAGAATGCGTCCACAGAACATCCTTTTCAACTCATATGAGATTTGGGGCTGTAGTTGAGATATTATTTGAGCTTTTGAGATGTTATTCAGCTGCAGTTGGTTGTAGAAAACGGTCTTGTTGCCATGGTTACGCATCATAACAAATGTCCAAAACTAAAAAGTTTCAGTAAAAATCGTTCCAGCTGCACAGCATCCAATACCAGAGGACCACAATCATCCAAAAAAATGAAGATGATTTTCTGTGTCGAAGGCTGCAGTAAGAACCAACAGCACCAGAACAGAAGTTGAAACAAGCCAATAAAAATACTTCTTACAGAGCTCCTGTGCTTTGAGGGCTGCACAGAAGTCTGTTAGAGTCAGTCTCCCCACCATCACAGACATCTACACCTCCAGATGCAGGAAGAGGGTCACCTGCATCATGAAGGACCCCACTCACCCAGCACACACACTTTTTGCCCCACTCCCCTCAGGAAGGAGGTTAAGGAGCATTAAGTGTAGAACCACTAGACTGAGGAACAGCTTCTGTCCTGAAGCTGTTAGACTCATGAATCTCTAACCAGGATAATCACTGTGAGAAAAAATCTCTGTAATGCCACTTGATTGTTGATGTGTGTCTAAAATTATTCATGCTGCTGATCTCATGCTGCTGATTTATTTCATGCTGCTGAGTTCATTCATACTCATCTGCCCACATGGACTCATGTCCATGCTGCTGTGCAGTGTATTGTTTTTGTACTACTAGTGCTTAGTGTATTTTTAGTTAACGTTTTTCTTATAGTTCATATCTTGTATCTTTTTACTGTTTTTCTTTTACATTTTATACTTTTGTTAGATGTAACTGGGACCCTGTGTACACAATTTTGTTCCACCAAATGTGCCACATGTGGTGTGTACGACAAATAAAGGAACTTTGACATTGACTTTAAGACTAAAATTTTTCTGAAATATCATTTGAATCATTTTCATATCCTCCACACAAACCACAAAATGCCAACATCCTGATGCATGCTCAATAATCTAGGTAGAAAAATCTAACAAAGTTCAGTCAGGTCCTCTGAACAGAGTAAAAATAAAAGAGTGTTGAAACGTTTTGTCTTTAATCTAATAGAGTCTGAGGAGCTGCAATAAACTGTCTTATAAAGATATCCTGATGCATGCTCAATAATCCAGGTAGAAAAATCTAAAAAAGTTAAATCTGGTCCTCCGGACATTCATAAAAACAAAACAAAGCAAAACAACAAAAAAAATGTAGAAACGTTTTGTCTCTCATCCGAGAGACTTCCTCAGTCTGAGGTGCTGTATTCAGCTCAGTCTCTTAAATAGCACCTTCTCAGAGTGGATCAACCGGTTTTGCTGCTGACAACCAAAACTAGCTGATCACATGCTCAAGAAGGACCATCAGCCTAACAATGGGTCATTAGCACACTGATGGCTGTTTACTACTCACAGAGGGCTGAGTGATACTAGCAATCACAGCATTGTAAGAGGGGGACAGTTGAACCCGGAGGTCTCCACCCCTGTTTAACGATGGACGATTTCTTTTCACAAAGATGGCCTCCTTTACTCCTCTCTCAAACCATCGTTCCTCTCTGTCCAAGATGTGAACATCTTCATCCCTGAAAGAGTGACCGCTGGCCTGGAGATGAGTGTAGACCGCAGAATCCTGGCCTGATGATGTTGATCTTCTGTGCTGGGCCATCCTTTTGGCCAGTGGCTGTTTTGTTTCCCCGATGTAAGACTGATCACAGCCCTCCTGACACTGAACAGCATACACAACATCAATCTGTTTGTGCCGGGGGACTGGATCTTTGGGATGAACCAGTCTTTGCCGGAATTTATTTTTGGGTTTAAAAGCCACTGGGACGTTATGTTTAGAAAATAAACGTCTCAGTTTCTCTGATACTCCCTCAACATATGGAATGACCACTGGTCTGGGTCTGGGTTCCTCCTTTTCACCTGTTGGCTGACTGGGGTCCTGTTTGGATCACAGCACCTCAGACTGAGGAAGTCTCTCGGATGAGAGACGAAACGTTTCTACTTTTTTTGTTGTTGTTGTTGTTTTGCTTTGTTTTTTTTTGTGTTTGTTTTTTTAATGTCCAGAGGACCAGATTTAACTTTTCAAATTCAAAAAAAAAAAAATTCAATTCAAAAATACTTTATTAATCCCAGAGGGAAATTAAATGTTGTTGTAGCTCATTTTCCTTGTTTCATAAAAGAGTTGTTCTATCTAGATGTTGATGGTTGTGGGTGGGAAGGATCTCTTGTGATGGTCCTTCTTATAGCAGATCTGAAAAAACTGACCACAGATGTTGATCCGTTTACTTGCACTTGGTTGGCCTCCTGGGCTTCAGGATCACCTGAACGTTGGGCAGAAATCCTCCCAGGGCAATGACCACTCCTCCCAGCAGCTTGTTGAGCTCCTCGTCGCTGCGGACAGCCAACTGTAGGTGCTGATGGACGATCCTGTCCTTCCGCTGTCATGAGCCGTGTTTCCTCCTAGTTCCAGGATCTCAGTGGTCAGGCACTTGAGCACAGCTGGCAGGTAGATGAGAATGCGTCCACAAAACATCCTTTTCAACTCATTTGAGATATGGGGCTGTAGTTGAGATATTATTTGAGCTTTTGAGATGTTAATCAGCTGCTGTTGGTTGTAGAAACTGCCTTGTTGCCATGGTTACGCATCATAACAAATGTCCAAAACTTAAAAAGTTTCAGTAAAAATCGTTCCAGCTGCACAGCATCTGATAACAGAGGAAACAATCATCCAAAAGATGTGATATACATCCAGAAAAAGAGGAATTAAAGTTTCCAAAAGCAAAATCTCAGAATGAAAGTAACAGAGCTGCTCCAACATGCAGCCACCTGGAGCGGCGCAATTCAATTTTTAGATGACTTATAAAGAGCTCCTTATAATAGTGGCTCTACCAGTTTGTGGTTGACATCCAGAACTAGTTGTTCACATGATAAAGGAGGACCATCAGTTTAACGACCGATAGTTAGTGCTCTTATGGCCTCTTGCTATTCACAAGGGGTTGAGCCAGGCTGAAGGAGAAATCCCACATGACAGGCTCTGAGCAGGGGTGTCAAGGCTCCATACTCCTGCGTCCTGTCAGCTGCATGGAAACTGTGCGCACTGTCCGCCTAGGATTGAGACTTCATACTCGAGCATCCACCCTGAGCAGCTGCAGAGCAGCTCCGCAGACAAGGGGCGTTTACCTTCAGGACAAATTGAGGTCGCCGACTGGTCATTTGCTGACACGCCTACTGGATTGATTGACAGGTCAAAAAAAAGAAAAAAAAAAGAACGAGAGCTGGCTCCAGCCGCAGCGGTGTTCTGTGTTTATATGTTGTTAATAAAAAGTTCTAAAAAAAAAAAATCAGTGAGCGCTGGCCCTGCAGCCCACACATCAGAGCGGCCCACCAGGAAATCTCTAGACCCTCCCGCAGCCACGCTGGACCTGATTTTAATTTGCTTGAGACAAATTCCTTCATTTTTCACCATTTCAGTCATGGCATCAACGGAGGAGGAGGAAGAGATCACTTGCCTCTTGGCAAAAAAACTAAAGAAAAGGCCAGATCAGGGATGAAGAAGGGGAATTTAATACATTGGTGTCGCATACAAAACAATCCGTCGCTGGACAGTTTATTGTGCAACACCGCATGCGCGTACCTCATAAAAATTGAGCTTTGCACGGACATGCCCTGCGGTGGTACGCGCGTACCTCTGCGGACGGACGTACACGGGAGTATACTGGGGATTTCAATCTCACTTACAAAAGGGGGCTAAAATTAAAGCATTTTTCAAACTAAGGGCCAGTTTCAGAATCTACATAAACTTAAGTTAGATACCCAACATCTTTTCTTGGTTGCCAGTTCCTCAAAAAGAGTACGGTCTCATTTGATATTCTCTGTTGCACCTTTGAATCATAATCAAAGATTACTGAAACAATTCAAGAGAAAAAAATATTTAACGTTTAAAAGATCATTTTGGGAGCCAGATAAGATGTCAACGAGAGCCACATTTGGCCCCTAGGCCTTGAGTTTGACATATGTGCTCTAGAGCAATGTGGATATCCTAACTGGGCCTTCCTGAAAGCAGAGAAGAAACCCAAACAGGACTCCAGTCAGCCATCAGGTGAAAAGGAGGAACCCAGACCAGTGATCATTATGGATGTTGTGGGAGTTTCAGAAAAACTGAGACGTTTATTTTCTAAACATAACATTCCATTGGCTTTTATACCCCAAAATACATTACGTCAAATACTGGTTCATCCCAAAGATCCAGTCCATCGGCACAAACAGAGTAATACTGTGTATGTTGTTCAGTGTCAGGAGGGTGATCAGTCTTACATCGGGGAACTAAACAGCCACTGGCCAAAAGGATGGCCCAGCACAGAAGAGCAACATCATCAGGCCAGGACTCTGCGGTCAACACTCATCTCCAGGCCAGCGGTCACTCTTTCAGGGACAAAGATGTTCACATCCTGGATAGAGAGGAACGATGGTTTGAGAGAGGAGTGAAGTAAGCCATCTTTGTGAAAAGAAATCGTCCTTCATTAAACAGGGGCTGAGGCCTCCATGTTCAACTGTCCCCCTCCTACATTGCTGTTATTGCTAGTATCACTCAGCCCTCTGTGAATAGCAAGCAGCCATCAGAGCACTGACTATTGGTCGCTAGACTGATGGTCCTCCTTTATCATGTGAACAGCTAGTTTTGGATGTCAACACTAGATGTCACTGGATGTCAACCAGCGCTACGTTTACTCTCCTGAATTTAGCTTGTACCTGAAAAGATCCCATGCAGAGCTCAATACAGAGGCGCAGGTTAACGCTGAAGTAGTCGGGCAAGAAGCTGAAGAACATGTAGTGGGTTCCAAACAAAGGGATGAGGAGGAGGGTGGACTTGGCCAGTCGCCTGTTGCACACAAGCAAATAAATCAGATGCAGGAGGTGAAGCTATACCTGAGGGAATCAGTGTCATCTGAAAACTGCTGCTGATTGTCTGATGCAAACAAACACCTTGATGATGAGATGTCAGCCAGAAGGACACTGGTGTATGTGTGTTTGTGTGTGTAAGGCAGGTATGGGAGTGCTGTGTTAAGCTACCTGGTGCAATTAAGTCAAGCCTCTTCTTACTTACCCTCAATGTGTGTTTGATGAGGTCCAGAATGCTTGATGTGCCACAGCACTCCCAGTCTATTAGTGAGCCTATTTCAATTAGAAATTCTGATAAGCCTCTTGGCAAGAGGAAAAATAGACGTGGCCAGATTGAGCAGACTGTTGTTCGGCTTAGTCTGAATGAATTATTCAATGCACGATGAGGTGTATCAACAGTTTTTGCACTTCCTGCATCTTTCAACATCAAAGCGTCTACTCTGAGTTAAAAAGTATTCGAAGAAGTGTCAGTCATCAGGCAGGAAAAAGCCTAAGAGCTCAACACAAATAAGTCATACAGACAAGACTTTGAAAAATCTAAGACCTTGTCTTGAGAAATGGAGACTCAAATGTAATAAAAACAAATCTCCTGGCATAAAGACTGCACACCAAGGATACATCTTTTCAAAGACTTCATCATTCAGCTCAGCAACTGAACTTTAGATACAATAAACAAGAAACTGAACAACTGTCAATACATCTGGGACCATATGATTACTGTACCTGTACTGAGAGGAGTTATTGAACTGGATCAGCCGAGGATTGAGTTTCTGTACCAGGATTCTGATTATATTTGCAAAGAGCATAAAATTCACCTGGTGATAAAAAAAAAGGATGTCAGTTGTGTTAATGTTCTGACAGACAGTAGAAAACATCCGTACCAACATGATTCCTAAGCACCACAGAGACGCTGCGTGCAGCCAAGTGTATAATTGACTTGGACTAGACGAGATGAGGTTTTGGCCCTCAATTCTGTTGACACAAAACAATTTTTCCCTCACTCCTTTCATCATGATGTCTTTAAAAGTGAAGGTGCAAATATTTTACAGAACAATGTGTGCTGTATTTGGAGCACAAATCAGAACGTTGCTTGTTTTTTGCAGGAGTGTGTACCGCTATAGAGAGAACAATTGGTCCCTTGATGATCCACCAGTAGGGCGAGTCCTCATTGATGTCCCAGCATCTGCATAAACATTTTGGAACATTTCAAAACCAATTTTGCTGCAGAGGTTTCCTCTAACATCATATAAACTGAACCCAAGTAAAAAGAACTATTAAAATAAAATCATGCTAGTGTTCCTAGAAGAATGAACATCCCCCACCATCTTGCATGCCAAACTTTTAAATACAACTAGCACACCAACTTTTAGCTCAATATTTGTGAAACTGACAGAGTTATACATGTAGCAATAAAGATGATTAGCTGTAGTGGCCATCTTGAATTAGGTCGACTCCAATAGTTAAGTGGTATAGAGATGTACACTGAATAATTACTTTCTGAAAGTTTCATTAAAATTTGTTTAGTGTCTTATGAGATATTTGATGCACACACAAGCAATTACATGGTATGGTGTTGGGTAATAATAATCTCCTGGCACAAATCAAGTAATCTGATTAACGAACACCCGGGCACTCATTTCACCACCAGCTCAATATCCTTCCATTCCATCTCAATGTGCAGCTATATTTGACCACTTTGAGCCAATCTCTTTGTCTTTGGAGCGGGTAATGTGCAGCATGAAGCCATCTGGTTCCCCCTTTGATGTGGTCCCCCCTCGACTACTAAAGGAGGTTTTTCCTACTCTGGGTCCATCTATTTTTGCTATTGTGAATAGCAGTTTATCCTCAGATGTGGTGCCAAAAACTTTTAAACATCCTGCTGTCCAGCCTCTCCTGAAAAAACCCAACCTCAACCCCTCAGTCGTGTTCAACTCCCGGCCTGTCTCCAGACTCCCATTCACCTCTAAACCACTGGAAAAAATAGTTGAGTCTCAGTTGAAGTGCTTCTTGGAGGATCACGCTATCCTAGAGTTATTCCAATCTAAAATGCTGCAGCCTGGTTTTTAACTGGCGCAGGCCATAGAGAGCACATTACTCCAGTTTTGGCCTCCCTGCACTGGCTACCCATTCACCTTTGGATCCAGTTCAAAATACTCATGTATGTTTTTAAATCACTGAACAGTTCTGCCCCATCTTATCTCACTGATCTTCTACAGCCATATGTCCCATCGTGCTCTCTGAGGTCAGCAGACCAGATGCTCCTTTCAGTTCCAGAAACCCGTCGCAAGCTCAGAGGTGACAGGGCTTTCTCTGTTGCAGGTCCAAGACTGTGGAATGAGTTGCCACTTCGTGTCAGGCAGGCTCCCACACTCACAGTCTTTAAGTCTCGCCTGAAGACCCACGTTTATTCCCTTGCCTTTGACACAGTGTGATTTGTTTTGATCATGTCTGTAGTCCACTGTGTTTGCATTTACACTAGTTATTATCTGCTACTATTTGTATCGGTATTTTTATTTTATGTTTTCCTGTCCACTGTGCTTGTTTGTTTCTATTGTAGAGCACTTTGGTTATCCTTGTTGCTGTTTTAAGTGTGCTATAAATAAATTGGTATGGTATGGTAAAATAAGTCCAAATTTGAACAAGTTTAGTGCATAAACCTCTCTACATTCACTTTCACGTGTGTATAATTTTTGCTTCATTCAAGCATTTTACCACAAGTCATAAATTCATTGCCTAACAAGCTAAAGAGCTTCACTGTGATTTTATATTTTCAACAGCTTTGAGTGTATATATTTCACACAGTGAGGACTGGAATAGATTATGATGAATAAAACTTATGGAAGTTTCTACAGACTCTGTGTCCTCAAAGTACACCCTGGATCCAATCCACAGAACTATAAAGAAGACAGGCACACCTGTGGAGAGAAAGGAAATCCAAATTAATATCAGTGAGATCTAATCAAGGCTTGGCAGAGTCATAATTAGAGTCTAACGAGCATGTGAATCTGTTGGTTTAACTTTGTAACACAAATCTTATACACATGTACAGAAAAAACAGAAATGATGTTTTGATTTCTGCACTTTACTGACTCGTCAGTTTCCTGCCTTTATGTTTATTCTATTTTTGAATGTTATTTTTATTAAGGCATGAAGCAGAGTTTGTATCTAAGATAATGAACTGACATGTGTCTTAGGAAACCTATAAAACATCTTTGAAACAGAGAGTTATTGTGAGGAAGAAAGCAAGTCGGAACCGTTAAGCTTGTTATGTCTGTAATGGCTCCTCAGACTCAGTAGGGTGAAACATTATTTAGACTATTCCACTGTCTGATGCATCAGTTTCACCACAAAACACATTGCATTGTAATCCATGAAATCTTCTTTGTCATAGTATAGATGAAAGTATCTGCAATTACTTTGTATTTTTACTACACTGCACAAAAATGTAAAAGCAACACTTTTGTTTTTGCTCCCATTTTTCATGGGCTAAACAAAGACCCAAGACTGTTTTATATACACAATGGGCATTTTTCTCTAAAATAAAAAAAAGGGTGTGTGCATTTGTGTTAGTGAGCACTTCTCCTTTGTCGAGATAATCCATCCACCTCACAGGTGTGGCATATCAAGATGCTGATTAGACAGCACGATTATTGCACAGGTGCGCCTTAGGCTGACCACAATAAAAGGCCACTCTAAAGTGTGCCATTTTATCACGCAGCACAATGCCACAGACGTCACAAATTTTGAAGGAGCGTGCAATTGACATGCAGGAATGTCCATATTCAGAGAATTTGGGAGTTAATACAACCAGCCTCACTACCGCAGACCACGTGTAACCATTAGCCCCTGAGTTTGTTGTCCATAAAGGTGGCAAAAAAACTCTAAAAAAAGCTTTGCACAAAATATACAGATGGCAAAAATACAACAACGTTTTGTAAAACTACAGAGGATTTAAGAGCAAAAAAAGTAGTTTGTCCTTATAACACACATAAAACATTCTAAGTGTTTTTTTATTTCCTAACAAGATGTTAGACTGATGTATACAAGGTATTTTTTTGTGCATCACTTTTACTACTTGCAGTCTAAAGTAGTTTCAGAATAACAGCTGGCTGATTTGCATCCTAAAACTGTATTAAAGTTCTCACCCCATCCAAGCAAGCCGAAGCCCCAGAGGCATCGACGGCTGTGATAAAAGGAGGAGAGCAGCAGCGAATTGAGGTAGAGCGCCTCCACCAGGAGCCAAAGGAAATTAGCCATCACACAGTAGTGACAGAAAACCACAGAAGCCTTGCAGGCAAACTGGACAGATGTAAAAGAAAATGAAGAAAATTTAATGGCTCAAAAATGTCAAGGCACAACCAAATATTTTCTTATCATCGTACCGTAGAGAGGGTGCAGTGGTTGGTGTCATCGCTTGAGAACAAAGTAGCATCTTTTATGAAAACTGCCACTGATTTCAGCATAAAAGTAAGAAAGAGCTGGATGTGAATAAAGTTCCTAGCACATCGGAGCCTCCTGTTAAAAGAATCCATGTAAAGTGTTGTTATGAAGGACAAATATTAAAAAAAGACATTACTGTAGAAGATTAAATATGAACAACCAAATGGTTTAACAAGTCCCAAGACATTTACACTTTCATGCAGTTTATTTAGAATAAATAGATGCGAGTAATGCCTATATATAACAATTAATGGCTTATTAAGGCTTTCATCCCTCCATCCATCCATCCATCCATCCATCCATCCATCCATCCATCCATCCATCCATCCATCCATCCATCCATCCATCCATTATCTTTACCCGCTTCTTCCTTTTTGGGTCACAGGGGTCACTGGTGCCCATGTCCAGCAGTCACCGTGTGAGAGGCAGGGGACACAGGACAGAGCGACATAGAGACAAGCGAGACAAACAATCATTCTTTCTCTCACTCACACCTAGCGTCAATTTAGAGTTACCAATCAGTCTAACATGCATGTTTTTGGCCTGTGGGAGAAAACCAGAGCACCCGGAAAAAACCTACGCATGCACGGAGAGAGCATGCAAACTCCTCCCAGAAAGGCTCGCGGCCAGGATTTGAACGGGTGACCTGCTTGCTGAGAGCGGCAGCTCTACCAACTGTGCCACCATGCGGCCTAAGGCTTTCATTTCTAGCATTTTTTCTGATATATTTATCACATGGGGCGGCTGTGGCTGAGTGGTTAGAGCAGTCGTCCTCCAATACGAGAGTTGGGGGTTCGAATCCACCAGCAGTCACATGTCGAAGTGTCCCTGGGCAAGACAGTGAACCCCTCATTGCCTCTGATGTGTGTCCCATCGGTGTATGAATGTGATAAAGCACTGATTAGTTTCTTTAGAATGATGTGTTCAATAAGCTTTGTAGAGATCTAGTAGAGTGCTGTATGAATGGGTAAATGAGGACACAGATTGTGTTGTAAAGCGCTTTGAGTATCTTGAAATAAGATAGAAAGGTGCTATATAAGTACAGTCCATTTACCATTTACCATTTACATGGCCTATCGGCCAGTAGCCCTCACCCCGATAGTTGCTAAATGCTTTGAAAGACTGGTCATAGCCCACATCAAAGCTAATATCAACATCAGGGAGGACCCTCACCAGTACACATACCATGAGAACCGATCAACAGAGGATGCCATCTCCTCTGTGGTCCACACTGCTCTCACCAGAAGCAGAAGGACTCTAATGTCTGTATGCTCTTTGTGGACTTCACGTCTTCCTTCAATACCATGATCCCCCAAACCCTGATGGACAAACTATTCACACTAGGACTAAGCCCCTCCATTTGCATCTGGGTACTAGACTTCTTAACAAACAGACCACAGTCAGTGAGCCCTGTCACAACTTCTCCTCCTCCACATAACCCTTTGCACTGTCTCCAACCAGGGGTGTGTGTTGAGCCCCTTCCTGTTCACTCTGCTCACATGGCTGTGCACCCATTAAAGGCAGGCTGTCATATTATAAAATTTGCAGACGATACAGCGGTGGTGGGATGCATCACAAACAATGATGAGTCCAGCTACAGGCAGGAGGTGGAACACCTGGAGAGCTGGTGCAAGAAGAACAACCTTCACATCAATGTGGAGAAGATGAAGGAGATGGCTGTGGACTTTAGATAGAACCAACACCCCCCCCCCC